TCCCTAACAATCCCAACAATAAGAGAGATAAAGGCCAAAAGAGAGACAGACAGGCAAACACTCAGAGGGTTTTTGGTTTAAATCATAGACACAGTTGAGCATTTACATTCCTAAATCAGAGTTTCCTCTCTTCCGCTGAGTCAAGTCAGTCCTAAAAAATTGATTCCCATACGGTATGTTGCAAAACATTTCAAAATGCCTCAAAAACTTAACTAAGAAAAAAAATTAAATTCATTTCCATACTTTGATAAATTTAGTCCCTACAATCAGCCCATAGTACATGGACTTTCCACAGTAGGAGGAAAGGGGAGGCAGAGATAGATCCTATTGAGCCAGAGCCACCCACACCCTCCAAGAAGGTGAAGATCAAGCATCCCTGAAAACAATCACAGCTTCAGAGACTAATAGCTCATGACTCTCTGTGGAGGCAGTTTCTCCCCGTGTGGGTAACAGCCACGTGTGTGCTTCCTTCTGTGTGATGATAGGGGACAGAGCAGGTCTTTAAGCAAAACCCAACCAAGGCCTCCCTATGTGAGCCTTTGCAGGGGAACTGAATACATTTAAGGAAGAGAAATGGTTTATAATCATGAGGAGAAAGAAAGAGAAAGGGTGAGGGAGACACAGAGAAAGATGGTTGTGTGTGTGTACAGAGGAAGAGTTGACACGATAATGTTTAGTAGACCAAGTATGGTCACCATGACATCAGGTCCTATTCTGTGGAAGGTAGGAATTACGTTGTGGGGGTAGGAGCCCTTGTGGGTAAATTAAGCATAGTTAGAAGGGGAGATTCTGAAGGACGTACTAAGTGTGATCTCCAGGGTCCTTATGATGTGAGGGTCATCATGGATAGAAAAGGGAGAGGCCATGTGAACACAGAGAAGAGACTGGTGCGATGTGGCCATGGCCAAGGGGAGAAGCAGCTGCCAGAAGCTGGGAAGGACAAGGAGCAGAGGCTCCCCCAAAACTTCTGCACACCGCACCCCTGCCCACACCCTCATCTTGGCTCACTGAAGCTGATTCCAGACTTCTCTACCCCCAAACTGTAGTAAAATAAGTTTCTGTTATTTTAAACCAACAAATTTTGGGTAATTTTTGACAGCGGCCTTGGAAGCTGGCACAAATGTGTCTCAGGGGAAACTGAGACTAAAGGTGCTACAGTCCTTTGGAATCTTATTCATCTTTCTAATGCTTCTAAGGCTACACGTCTTTCTAATGCAAATGTGAATGGGTTGCCGGAGTGCTTTATGGTAGAAAACATGCACAGAAAATCCCACAATGTGTGATAGTGAGCGAGAGTTCACGGCCTGACACACAGAAGCCAATATTATGGCACCAACTTTTTTGCAAAAAGAAAGAATTTTATCGCAGGTTAATTGACAAGAAGCCTCAAATCTGGGCCCCCAGTCAGCTCAGCCAATGAAGGATTTTAAGGGCTCTGAAGAGTTGACAAGTCTGGTCATGTCTTGGATCTTGATTGCGTGTAGTTGTATCTTTCAAAGTTTTCACTTTTTCCATCCTGTATTGTAAGTTCATAGTCAGCAGCCCTGCTCCTATTGTAGTCTGGGAAGCTCCCAGTCCTGAACCTAAGCTTCTGTAGATTTGAGTCTGTTAGGTCCCTCCAGCTTGGATTGCCCTTAGGTCCAAATTCAAGGTAACTCCCAGGATGCACTCTATAAAACATCTTACAGTACAGTTGGGAATAAAGATATTTTTTTAAATGCCTAGTAGTATGGAAACAGCTTAGCTCCATTCCAGTCTGGGTGATTTTGTCATTGGAGGCTGGTGCATGGCTGGGACAGTTGGGCATTACCCACCAGCTGAAGAGAGACACTGACCATGGATACAGAATGGCAGCACCCAAGCCTGACAAGATTGAGCTGAGCCCTGCACCAGGTACCAGTCATCTGAAGAGCTCACCAAATCTGGCACCTGATGTCAGCCTTCCAGCCACAAGATCAAGTGGGACCACGGGGATCCACTACTGAAGAAGACATAAAAAGACAGCAGCGGCTGATGTTGGGGCCACCATCCTCCTGCTCTTGCACTGGTCCTTCCTTCTGTTTTCCTTTGAAGCACCCTTGTCTCCTTGAGCATTTCTTTTCCTTGAGCTTCTTTTCCTTTTTCTCTTTGCTTTTCTTATTTCTTTCATAAAATAACAGTAAACTTTCACATCTACCAGTTGTCCTGACCAACTCACTGAAAGGGACAATAAGAACCTGGGAAACACTGTTGGTCCCCACCCTGTCCCATGACAGTGTGGAGCCAGAGGGAGTGGGGGCTGGGTACAGTCCAGGAAGTAAAAGCACAAAGGAGCAGTTAGTGTGCATGACATGGGCCTGGCCATGTTTGAGGGCAGCTCATTCCCAAACTCTAAAGATCGTGTCCTCTCATAGAGCCCTGGTGACAGAAGTCTCAGTTTCTGATCATTTGATTCTTGGAAATGGCTCTAGGGTCCATAAGAGGTGATTCTGAGTTAAAAGAGGTACATATTCAAAGCTCCCAGCCCATTTTAGTAAATGCCTAGAAAGGAGACGTTCTGGCCTGTTCAGCAGAGGCTGAGTCACATACAGTGAGGAACCACTCACTGAATAATAATTATTGGTGACCTTTAGTTTAAAATGACATCTGGCCAGCCAAACTTCACACAGCATCCATTCTAAGATATTCAAGGGTGCATAAAGCAGAACATGGGGGACCCTTCTCCAAAGAAAAACTGTACTTCTTGGCCCATCATGTGGGAGAGTCCCCCATCCCCAGGACACCCCTTGGACCCATAGGGCTCCGTTTCACACAGGATCAAACCTTTCACACCTTGCATGATTTTCCCAAGGTCACATGGGCAAATCAGTGAGGGCTGGGGCTGGGATTTGAACCCAGGTCTGTCTGACATCAACTTTTCCTTCCAAGTAGGCATTTTTACCTACGTAAAGAAGAAAAACCAGGAGGATGGTGCGAGAGTCACAGACCCTTGCTGCCTCTCCTCCATACCATGATGACCTTAACATTAAACTGAGCCTTTTTTAATCCAAGCTCAGTCTTTACTCATCCAAAGGACAGTACTTTGGGTTTCTTGCATTGCTTCCGCTTTTTCCTCCTTGCTTCTGTCTGTTCCTGTGTCTCTGACTCGGTCTTTCCTCTCAGATAGTATCTGTCAGTCTAACTGTCCTGCTACTGTGAAATCTACGCTTTTCTCCAGGGCTTGAGCTCTGAGCCCTGGACTCTTGGACATCTCCCACATAAAGAGCAAAGGAAAGCGCCTCACCAGGAGACTCTCATCCTAAGAGGAATTCTGTTTTCTTTCCAGTAACTGTTTCTTGTCAAAACTGACCAAAAGATCACTATGTGGAAAGGGTTAGGAGAACAACCATCCACTCAAGGAGGGAAAAGACATTCTCTACCCTGTGTGGCTTTCCTGTGGCTGCTTAACAAATCCTGCACCTCACTGGCATCAAACCACATAAACACATCACCTTTCAGTTCAGAGAGGAGAAGTCTGACCCCAGCTCACACGGAGGTTTCCTTGGGAACGCTGCAGGGGACAACTGGTTTCCTTGCCTTGTTCAGCTTTAGACACTACCATCCTCCTTTCTTGGCCCACAGCTCCTTCTTTACATCACCCCAGCCTCTTTCTCCACTACCACATCGCCGTTCTAAATCTGACCACTTTGCTCTCCTACCCTAAGGACACTTGTGATTCGATGGGGCCACCCCGGGAACCCAAGCTCATCTTCCAACTCAAGGTCCTCAGTGGAACCACAGCTGCCAAGTTACTTTTGCCATATGAGGTATCATGGGCTCCAGAGACTAGGGTATGGATGTCTTTGGAGAGAGCCACATTATCTAACTTTCCAACCCCTCTTACCATCCCCCTGTCCTCCCCTACAAAAGAGTCCAAAATCACATGGCTGGGAGAGAGAGAGGACAGGGGAAAGTAAACAGATTCATGAAGACTCGGGAAGTGAGAGCTGGATGTGAGACTCAGGGCAGCTGGCCTTCAGGTGTTAGAGGCTGGGGGAATCTTCATCTACCACTGCCCCTGTTGTGGATCCATGGGGATAGCTGTGTAGTGGTTCCTCGATTCTGTGACCCAGACGAAAAAGGAAACACTGCTTAAACTTAATCCAAGAGGGACTGGTAAAGGAAATTAATCCAAGAGAGACTGTCACGCAGCACAGGCTGGTTGTAGCAGGTTGCAGGCCTAGAGTACAGCAAGGAAGGGCTGGCTTTGAGCGTAGGCAACTCTCCAAAAGCAAGATGTGAAGGAAGAGAAAGAGATACGTGGTGGCCAGAAAGAATTGCAAGCCAAAGGGCGGAGGGCTGATATTTGATACTGAAGTCAAAGTGTGGGTGTGGAAATCACTGCAGGAAAGCCCTCCCCAAAAAAATACAGGAATTGCAAAAATTCAGTATATGTGCTGCTAAAGCCAGCACAGAAATTGCAAAAATTCAGATGAAAATTACCCTCCAAGAATAAAGATTCATTTACTCTCTTAAGTTGGGTCCCCAAGCAACAAGATTCCCATGCAGGAAGCATGTTTGTGAGCTGAAGAGAACCCTGGGAGGAAAAGAGGAAAGTGAAACAGGGAGAAAAGATGGATGGTAAAAGGCACCACAGCAGATAAACTAAAAATGAGAACAAGCGGAGTTCCCACTCCACTTGGAAATACAGGGAAAATGCCTCTGGTTACCGCAGCTGAAGCAAGAGAGCTGGGTTGTGAATGCACCTCCTCCTGCCCTCATCCTCTGAGGCTGACCTGGGAAATGCTCGGTCCAGGCTCTGTGATCTTCCAAGTTTGCAGGGAAAGCTGCCATCCGCAGCTCTAGAGAGCCTGGTACAGGGCAGACATGGCCATTAGAATTCAATAGAAATACAGTAAACGGGGAAGATACAGAGGAAACACAGAGACTGCTGTCTGCTCAAAAAAGAAGAGCTCCTGAATAAGGTGCATATCTCTGGAAGAGGATCCAGGTCAGCCAGGTGCAGCCTGGCAACTAGCAATTTAGTCTCTGGGACGCACAGCAGGAGATTCGTGCATAGCCGGCACCACTGTGGGTGGCCACCCGCAGTCATGCATGCAGTAATATTCCCCAGAGTGCCCTGGCTCCACAGGGCTGATGCGCAAGACATAGCTGGTTCCACTTCCTTTGCTACTGAACCTGGCTCGGACACCGGGAGCCAAAGTGGTGACATGAGATATAAGGGGTTCAAGTCTTTGGCCAAGTTTAATTCGGATCCAAGACATCTCGCTGTGTACATCAGCGCTGGCTTGACAGGAGATGGAGATGGTCTCCCCTGGAGATGCAGACAAGGAGGCTGGGGTCTGGGTCAGGATGATGTCTGCATTCACAGCTAAAGAGTAAAGAAAAAAGACTTGGCATTTACAGTGCACGGCATTGGGCATTGTTATGCACCAAGCAGCAGCTGTCTTCAACTAGGACCCAGGGCTTGCTGAACTGGCCTCTCCCGGGGGCCGCCCTCCTCACCTGCTCTCCAGAAAGCCACACTCCAAAGAAGCCACACCGGAGCCACCGGGGACATGCTGGCAGGGCGTGGTCAGAGCCTGGGTAGTGCACAAGGCGCCAGACCTTTATAGGGATGGCTTGGGGGTTGTGTGAGGAGGAGACATGCAAAACAGAGGCCCCAAGAGAAAGGCTGACAGTCTTATGAGTCTTCATCCAGTTTGGTCCATTCAACCTCCTCCAAGGAACCTGACAGCCATGGCTTTGGAGGCCATGCGGACCCACCATCAAAGGTGAGCACTACTTTGTATGGCAGACAGGGGTGGTGCTGATGCCAGAGGACTTCCTGGGAATGCGGTGCAGGTCCTCAAGACTCTGACTCAGGGTCCTAAGACAGCAGCCCTGTATGAAGCCAGGGTGAATTTGTCCCTGAATTCAGAGTAAGAGGGGGACAAAGCCTACTGATAGTGTCATCCAGACATTAGTGCGAGTGTTGAAATATCACTACATCCCATTAATATATGCAATTATAACATGTTAATAAAGCATAATTTAAAGGAAGAAATTGTCAGTCCTTTTTGCCCTTTCTTGCTGGAGTTCACCCCAGCTTGGTCGGATCATTTGGAGCTCAGAGGATCCAATGAGCTGCCCGGACAGAGCCTGGGGAATCCAGGAGGTGAAGATGTGTCCCCTGTTACTCACCCCTACCATTTTCCTCTCACAGAAGACTCTCTCCCTACCCCTGCTACCTATCACCCCCTGCCTGCAGCATCTTCAACGCCCACCACTGACTTCACTATCAAAATCGGCCCTCCTTCCTTTGCCTGGCAATTCCTTCTGGCCTCTGCACCTTTCTCTCCCTTCACGTTTTGCCTTCAAAGAGTTGCCTACACTTGAACCCCGCTTCCTTGCGTCCTTTGCTCTTCCATCCACTACAACCAGCCTTCTGCCTTCACCACATGATGGAAATGGTAAATTATCACCGCCAGATCAGCCGGACGAAGCAGTCACCAGCTCCAGCATCTTAACCTTCTCTTAAGGGCCAGACACTATCGCTCACTGCCCTCCTAAAATGTTCCCCTTTTGTTTGTGTGAACCTGTCCTCAGTTCTTCTACCTGCCCAATTGCTCTTTCTTTTACTGTCTAGGATTTTTCTGTCTGCCCTGTGAATGTTGGAGAAGTCCCAGCAATCTCACATCCATCCTCTTCTCATTCTTCTTTGCCTCAAGTGGCTGACACATGTGAAGAGTCACTTGCTGGTAATCATGGTTATGAGCTGGACAAGGGTCTGCGAGGGGCTCTGTGTGGGAAGCTGAGTCTGTGATCCTTGGAAATTAACCTCAACTGAGCCTGAGGAAAGTCTCTCACTGTGATTCATTAATATTTCATGGATATACAGATGCTTCATGACTTCTACCTCAATAAATCCACTATACTTTGAACATACCATAAGTGGGAAAATGCATGGAATCTTGTACATCTAATCTACTGGACACTGTGACTTAGCTTCACCTGTCTTACATGTGCTCAGAATACCTACATCAGCCTACACTTGGGCAAAGTCATCTAACACCCACCTGTTTCATAACGAAGTGTTATCTCATGTGCACACACCAGGGGGGTTTATGGACATGACAGGATGCAAAAATACAAAGCATGATGTCCAAGCACTGCGGGCAATGCTGTGGTGGTTGCTTCCCCTTTTGATCATGTGGCTACCTGGTAGCTGCTGCTGCCCAGCATAGCAGAGAGTATCCCACGGAACAGTGTCTGGCCAGGAAAAGACCAAAAGTCAAACTCCGAAGTATGGTTTCTACTGACCGCATACTGTTTCCACACCAGCAATAAGTCAGAAATCATAATTTGACCCACTGAAGCTGGGGACTCTGCAATCTTTGTTAAGTACAAGATCATTGGGTGAACTGCTGCTTCCATTTGATGCCATCTAAAAGACGTGGATCCAGAACTCAGTCCAGAGGTCCAGGGAACACATGCAACCCTCCTCCTGAGGGCCCTGCCTCTGAGAGCTGCTCTGCAGCCATGGCAGAGACAGGACGGCAGGAACGACCCACTGAGTGACCTCAGCCACCCTCAGTGTCACTGTCCACAGGAATGCAGGACAGTCGCTGTCACATTGTGAGGGTGACAGTCCCAGGAAACATCAAGAGGAGGAGTCTGGGACAGGTTGGGGTGTGAGTGTAGAAAGGAAAACTGCAGGTGCGCATGTGGTGCGGGGAGTTAGAGAGGAAGGACTCCTTTGTTCATGGGCTTTATACACACCGACTCACGCACGCACGCACGCACGCACGCACGCATGCACGCATGCATGCACATACACCCTGGATTCAGGGACCGTTGGAGGGGAAAGCAGAGACATACTTGGAATACTTGCATCTTCCAGGGTGGAGCTGGGCCTGCAGGAAACATTAATCAGCGCAGCCAGAAACCAGAGATCTTTTCTAAGCTCAGTTTGTAAAGTCTTGGGCAAGTCACTTCCCTATTCTAAACTTAGGTGCTTTTTTTTTCCTTTGATAATGAGGAAATCGAACCTCTTGGTCTCGCAGACTCCTCCCAGTTCCTCATCCCCTGAGACTGTAAATTAAGCAACATCAGTTTCCATTGGAAACGCTGCACGTACCCATTTTAGCCACAAGAGGGAGACACGTGATCGCTCCATGGCTGAGATTTTAATTTAGTTCTTTATTGTAGATTTGGCCGCTAGAGGACACTCCTGTTCCGCATGTACAGCTGACTAAAGCAGCAAAAAGGAATACCTGAATTTTTAGATTTTCCAAACCTGTGATTGTCAGAGACAGGCAGGGGCAAGACGCCCTTGCCGTTTTAACAATAATTTATTAAAAACTTTAAGAGTAAAAAGTGTATATCATCTAATTCCTATAGAACATATACTGTATAAGGAAAAGTACTTAAAAAATAATCTCTAATTATTTCAGAGATTAAATAAGAGAACGCACCTCCCATCCCCCCATAGAGAGGTCTGGTCAGGCCCACCCCACCCTGCACGCTGCGAGGACAAAGACTGCTTCATTAAAAATGTTTTCTTCCTCCCTCCGACCACCCTAAAGACCCAGCCCAGAGCACGGGACAAGCATCATGGCGAAGTCCCCTTGGGTGGGGAAGTAGGTGACACCCACACCATCTGAGGAGTGCTGAGTAGAGCAGAAACACCGCCCAGCTCCGTTTAGACAGGAGTCTCCGCTTCTCTTTCGGCCTCAGCAGTGAAGCCAGGACTCAGCGAGGCTTCCATCTTCAAGGCGCCATGTAAAACGCAGCCGCCCACCCTCGCTCCTGGGAGCCCTCCATTGCCCATGACGTCATCACTCGGCGTCATTGGCCCATGATGCAGTTCTTCAGCTACCGGTCTTTACTTCTGTGTTCATCAACTCAATTATTTGCACAGGGAAATGGAAAGTGTGGTGTAAAATCGATCCCAGACCCCCAGCCTTTTGTCTTTGCCGTTAGATGCTATCTGCTGCAGTGTGAAGGTGCCCGCCCACCAGTTCAGGTGCTGCCAGCCTAGTGGTATTAAGAGGCAGGCCCCTCAGGAGATGATTACGCCAGGAGGTCTCTGCCTTGGAGAATAAGATCAGGAGCCGCATACCCGGGCCCCTCTTGCCTTCCACCTTCCGCCACATGAAGACATAGCACTTACGTATAGCACTGGAAGATGTAGCCTTCACATCACCATCTTAGAAAAAGACAAAGGATCCTCCCAGATACCAATGCTGCCAGTGCCTTGACCTTGGACTTCTTAGCCTCCAGAACTGTAAGAAATAAATTCTCAGCTCAAATGCCCAGGAAAAGGGAGATGTGGGTTTTTATACAATGGAATGCTACTGTGCCATAGAGAAGGATAAGCTTGAGACAGTTCTAGCTAAAGAGAGACACTTTAGGACCACACTCTTAAATGAAATAAATCAGACACACACATGTAAACACCACTTTGTTTCTTTGGTGTGAGAAACCAAAAGTGAAAATAAGGATGGAAATGCACAATAGATACTGTAAGATAGAAAGAAAGAAAATGTTCAAATGGGAAGAGGAACTATGGAGAGAGGAGGGGAAAAGAAAAAAAAGGAAAAAAAATGGAACAAAGTTTTTATAAATAAGGAGAGGGGGAAGTTGAAGGGAGGGTAGAGGAATGGATAAAAAAGAATCAGTTACATCATGCACGGGTACAAATTCCCTATGATGAGTGTAATCACTATGTACACCTAACATGCACCCGAAAACTTAATGAAAAAAAAAGAAATTCTGTAATTCTGTTCTTTACCAAGTGTGCTGTCTGTGGTATCGGGTTGGAGCAGCGCAGATAGGACGCTGTCCTCTGGAGATGCTGCAGCCCGTGCAAGCGTGTGCGGCGCACTTTTTCCTGCAGGTCGGAGCAGGCATGTGTGCCCGCCCGGAACTCGAAACAGTCGGGAGGGAATAGACGGACTGCAAGCTCTGAGCACAGAGGCAGTTCCCGCACAGGTAAGCACCGTGCACGGGGGAGTCCATGCAGCCAGCCAGGGGCGGTGAGCTGCATCTCGGTAGGATCCTGGCAACTGTGGGAGAGGCAGAGGTTTGCATCTTGATGGGCACCGGGGGTTCTGGTTCTGTGCACAGCACAGATGATCTGTGCAGCCTCCCAGGAGTTTTTCACAAACTAGGCACGCGGGGTAAGGAAAGGCGGCCCAGGGGTCGCTCTTGCAAATTCCTTCTAGTCTGACTGCAGGTGCCAAGTTGCACAACGCCTGCAGAGAATCCACCACCAGTGAACTGGGAAAGACAGATGGAAATATCTTACGTTTAATTTCAAAAATTTAAATGTACACTAATGTAAATAAGGAAAAACCCAGTAAATATCTAAATACCTTAACTAACCAGGAACTTGATATATAACCACAGTGTGGCGTGGTTGTAGGCTAAATCCATAAACATTTCATGAGAGACATTATCTAATCCCCATAACTCTGCTGGATGTGTTTCAAGCCACAAATTTCCATGTGCGCTGTGCTTTCAGGAGGGTGAAAAGCTTGTTTGCCTTGTCATATAAAGGCCAGTATTACCAGCTGC